TGACCTTGGGGGACCTGAAGGGGCTGGGAGGATCTGAGGGGCACCTGGTGGGTTGGGGAGGGGGCTCAGCAGTGAGAAATGGGGGTCACAGGTGTGGCTGCCTGTACCTGTGCAGGTGTGGGTTCAGGACAGGTGAGTGTGCAGGTGAGGGCACCCGTACCTGTCCAAGTGTGGGTACAGGTGAGGGTACAGGGTGCAGGTGTGGGCACCCGTACCTGTCCAGGTGCCCTCGGTGCCAGCCCCGATGCCCCCCTCGCCCCCCCAGGCGTTCCTGGCCGCGCTGCAGACGCAGTGGAGCTGGATGCTGCAGCTCTGCTGCTGCATCGAGACTCACCTGAAGGAGAACACCAACTACTTCCAGGTACGGGGAGGGGCAGGGAGGGGCCGGGGGGGGGAGGAGGGGAGGGTGTGACCCCCCCTGACCCCCCCGGGCCCCCCCAGTTCTTCGCCGAGGTGCGCGAGGCTGAGGAGCTGCTGCGCAAGACGGAGGAGTCGATGCGGCGCAAATTCAGCTGCGACCGCGGCACCACGGCCACGCGCCTGGAAGACCTGCTGCAGGACCTGGCGGTGAGACCCCCGGGGAGACCCCCCGGAACCCGGGGAGACCCCCCAGGACCCGGGGAAATCCCCACAGTGACCCCCAGACCCCGCAGTGACCCCTGGGGAGACTCCCAGGGTGATCCCCCAGGACCCGGGGACACCCCCGGGGAGACCCCCCGGAACCCAGGGACACCCCCGGGGAGACCCCCCAGAACCCGGGGACACCCCCGGGATGACCCCCAGGATCCGGGGAAATCCCCACAGTGACCCCCAGACCCCGCAGTGACCCCTGGGGAGACTCCCAGGGTGACCCCCCAGGATCCGGGGAGACCCCCAGGGTGACCCTCAGACCCCACAGTGACCCCCAGACCCGGGGAGACCCCCACAGTGACTCCCACAGTGACCCTCAGAACCCGAGGGCACATCCAGGGTGACCCCCCAGAATCCGGGGAGACCCCCAGGGTGACCCCCATAGTGACCCCCAGACCCTGAGGAGATCCCACAGTGACCCCCAGGGTGACACCTCAGAATCCGGGGAAATCCCCCCAGTGACCCCCAGGGTGACCCACAGAACCCGGGGAGACCCCCAGGGTGACCCCCCAGACCGTGGGGGAGACCCTCACAGTGAATCCCAGACCCCAGGGAGATCCCCCAGAATCCGGGAAAATCCCCACAGTGACCCCCAAACCCCACAGTGACCCCCCCAGAATCCGGGGAGACCCCCAGGGTGACCCCAGCCCCACGGCAGCCCCCAGGGTGACCCCCAAAATCAGTCCCCCAGCAGCCCCTGAGGGCTCCAGCTGCCGAGTTCCGGGGTGCCTCCCCCAGTTCCACCCGTGGGGTGACCCCAACACATCCAGAACCCCCTCCCCTCATATTCCTGACCCCTCCCCAAACTCCTGGGACCCCCCCACAAAAATCCCAGGAGCTCCCAAAACCTTTGGGACTTCCAGATACTTCTGAGCGCCCTCAAAAAAAAAAAACCAAAAACAAAAAAAAACCCCAAAGCAGTATCTCCCCAAAATTCTGAGAGCCCTGAGCCCCACGGGACGCCCCAAATGCTGAGGTGCCCCAACCGTGCCCCCCCCCAGGAGCAGAAGGAGCAGCTGGCAGAGCTGGGGGCGCAGCTGGGGGGGCTCTCCCGCCGTGCCAGGACCATCGTGCAGCTCAAACCCCGCAGCCCCTCGACCCCCCTGCAGGGCCGGCCCCAAATCCAGGCGGTTTGTGACTACAAACAGATGGAGGTGAGGGGG